GCGTCTCCCCTCCGGTACACAGCACCGTAGTGTGGAGTTGCATTAGGTAACGCGAGATACGGCTGATACTTGCGCATTAGTTTCTGTTATGGATCAGTATCAACAGTCCTGCCAGTAACGTTACTATATTATCAATGCTACTTTAGTTATAGCCTGATATATGATAGCTAACTTTACAATGTTGTGATGTGACTGACGTTAGCTAACATTAACTGTACTGTAGCTAACGCCGGTCACTCACCAAGACAGCTGCTCTGTTCTCCACTGGTTCTCCACACACCAAAGCTCCATTTCTCTCCGATGGCCGTTATTTTTTCTAATCCTTGGCTGCTCCTGGTCTCTTGGACGCATAGAAGGCTCATAATTATAATCATATGCATTCAAATATATATTTTCAACCTCTTCTGTGTCAAAACTAGCATTGTGATCCATGTTTATTCATACGTTAGACCGGCCGCTCTCCCCCATGTTACGTCACACGCGGAGGCTTTTTTATGCGGAAGTGAAAATGTCTTACTAAAACGACGCCAGATGTCACTGTAGTGTATATTTCTGTATATTTTTTTGAAAATCTAGTGTATTCCTGATTTTCTTACACATTTATTCACTGGTGTCTCTAACCTGCAAGTTGCTCTTCAAACAATACATAATTTTCTGAATTTAGAAAATAAATCATGTTAATACTGTATCCGTTCTTCAGTCTGATGTTCTGGACCGACTGGGGGGACAGAGCGGCCGGTGTTTACCGGAGCTACATGGACGGAACCAATGTGTCCTGCATTGTGTCGGAGGGCGTCCGCTGGCCCAACGGGATCACAGCTGACGACCACTGGCTGTACTGGACCGAGGCCTACAGCGACCGCATCGAGAGGGCCGACTTCATGGGGGGCCAGAGGACTGTTCTCATTGGGGGGCTGCCCCATCCGTATGCCATTGCAGTCTTCAAGGTGACACTGTTCATACAACACATAAAAAAAGTCTTCTAACTTTTCTACAGTCTTGTATCAGAAAAAGTTTAATGTTGAATGTCCTCGCTAAGTATCCGTTTTTACAAGTTTGTGTTGGATGCTGTTTCCAGAATGACCTGTACTGGGACGACTGGTCCAGGATGGGGATCTTCAAAGCTCCAAAGGCGGGTTCCCAGAGCAACGAGCTGATTGTTGGCAGACTCACCGGGGTCATGGACCTCAAGATCTTCTACAAGGGGAAGAACAGGGGTGAGGAACAGAGAGTACACTCATGTCCACAAAGTTTGAAATCTTAGCAAGAATTGTGAAAAATTAATCGTGGTAACTAACGGTTGGTATACTTTTGACTTCAGTAAATATAACCTGTTTCTATTAAGGCAAATAGTAAATGATAGGAATAAATAATCTCCAAAAACAGACTCTGCATATCACTTTTTAGTCCGAGTTGTGTTGACCAATCAAAATGGGGCAAGTAAACAGTCATTACAAATAAAATAAGAGACAGTCTGCATTAGCCCAAATGCGACCTTGAAAAGTATTGATATTGTCTGACAATGATTTAACTGGTAAACATCTTATTATTGGAGAAATCAGTTTGTGCACGTTGTCTCTGAACACTTGGCTTCATATATTCACTGGCTCACATCAGAATCGCAGAAATGTAGCCCGTTGCCCCAAGAGAGATAGTCGATGGGTTCCAGGATTAAGGTAGAAAAAGACCTGTCAGGATTTCTGCTTAGAGATTTTCTAAATGTATTAAAAATGTCCGGTGTGCAGGATTTACGGGGATTTATTTTCTGAAATTGAATCAAACATTCATAAATATGCTTTCAAGTGTGTAATCACATGAAAATAAGAATGGTTGTCTGGTAGCAGGTGCACTCTGTGTTTCCCTTGCCATGTTCATATAAGCCCACCACAAACTAACAATCCGTGGGTCTAGAGAGAGACTTTTAAATGTAACTTTTTATCTTAAGGCTTCAGTGGGTTCTCTACAGGCTTGGAAAAGGAGGAGTAAGCGGAGGTTGATTCAGTTGGATGCAATCTGTAACCTCAATGCTAGATGCGACTGTATCCTGTACACAACTCCTTCAAACACATGTAGTAGTGCTGAAACTGAGGTCTGGATCTCTTGTCCCCAGGTCACAACGCCTGTGCTGACCACCCGTGCAGCCTGCTGTGTCTGCCTCAGCCCGGCCATCGGCACACCTGCGTCTGCCCCGACGGAGCTCCCACCATCACCATGCCTAACGGAGAGGTGCAGTGCCAGTGTCCCACTGGATACCTGATGAAAAACAACACCTGCATCAAGACGGGTGAGACACATACTGAGCACTCATTGTGATTTTTTGCTGTAAGATGTATGATCTTGTCTCTGTAAAATTAGGCCTTAATTTCACAGGGAGGTTATCTGGTTTACCCTCCAGGATCTGTAGGATGGCTTGTGACTCAAGCCAACTTTACTGTCTTTAAAAGCCTGTTTTAAGATCAGACTCCATCCATCCATCTTCTCCCGCTTATCCGTGGTCGGGTCGCGGAGGTAGCAGTTCCAGCAGAGAGCCCCAAACTTTCTTTTCCCTGGCCACATCAACCAGCTCTGACTGGGGGATCCCAAGGCGCTCCCAGGCCAGCAAAGAGATATAATCCCTCCATCTGGTTCTAGGTCTACCCCTTGGTCTCTTCCCAGCTGGACGTGCCTGGAACACCTCCCTAGGGAGGCGCCCAGGTGGCATCCTAACTAGGTGCCCGAACCACCTCAACTGGCTCCTTTCGACGCGAAGGAGGAGCGGCTCAACTCCGAGTCCCTCCCTGATGACCGAACTTCTCACCTTATCCCTAAGGGAGACACCAGCCACCCTGCGGAGAAAACCCATCTCGGCCGCTTGTACCCGCGATCTCGTTCTTTCGGTCATGACCCATCCTTCATGACCATAGGTGAGGGTAGGGACGAAAATGGCGCGGTAGACAGAGAGCTTTGCCTTCTGGCTCAGCTCCCTTTTCGTCACAACGGTGCGGTAAAGAGACTGCAGTACCGCTCCCGCTGCTCCGATTCTCCGACCCA